ACCTACAAAGGACCAACCAGCAAGTCACTCAAAATTGCATGATTTATGCTAAAAATAACCCAAAGACTGCTGTCAGGCCTCCCCAAATGGGAACTCAACACAGAGGAACCTGCCCCACTGAGGACTGGCAAATAGACTTGACTCAAATGCCTCAAGCCACAGAAAATTTCAGACACCTGCTAGTATTTGTGGACACTTTTTCAGGATGGGTGGAGGCATATCCCACCAGGGCAGAAAAAGCCTCTGAAGTGGTTAAAGTCCACCTTAAGGAAATTATCCCCCTATTTGGGCTGCCTAGCCCCCTTCAAAGTGATAATGGGCCTGCTTTTGTCTCTACCATAACCTAACAAGTAACTAAAGCACTGCGAATGAACTGGAAGCTACATTCGTCCTGGCGGCCACAATCAACAGGAAAAACTGAGAAAATGAATTACATATTAAAAAGGAGCATTGCTAAAATATGTCAAGAGACTAATTTACCTTGGGATAAGGCCTTGTCAGTTGCCCTGCCACGGATCAGAGGGGCTCCCAGAAGCAGCTCAAATTACGCCCCACTGAGATATTGTATGGTAGGCCATTCCAGGTGTCTGCCGGGGAGGGAGAATCTATAAATGCTCTGAAAGATCTAGCAGTTGCCAATTACGTTAAAACCCCGGGCACTATACTAACCTCTGTTCATGAGTTTGCTTCTAGTAGGTCTGCCTATCCAACTGAGGTAGCCTTACATCCTTTCCTGCCTGGAGTCCTCCTTAAAATCTAGAGAGAACAAGGGCCTGAGCACCATCTGACTACAAGGTGGACAGGACCACGTGTGGTATTACTTACCACGCACTCATCTGTCCAGTTAGCTGGAGTAAAGCCATGGATTCATCGCGCTTGCCCCACTGTCATCAGAAAATTACCCAACTCCTGAGAGGCCTAGAGAGCAACGGGTTTGTGAACCCTTAGAAGACTTAAGGTTGCTCTTCAAAAAGCATAAGTATTGAGGTTAAAATTTCATTGTAGAAGAGATTTCATCAGGTTCAAAGAGTTGTAGATAAAGAAAGAGAATTGTATTGCTTACTAAAAATTTTAAGGGATATTCCTGACCCAAAACGGATCAATTCCATTTCACAACTACCCCCTCATCACCGCTGTTCAGTGGGAAGTAGCCAGAAAGATCATTGCCCCTTTTTCCCACAAGATCGTATAAAAGGAGCCTGAATTGGGACTAGGACAAGATGGGTTTTTTGAGACGCTAGTCTGCCATCTTCTCCATCTGCTAGCCTTCCAATTAAAGTCGTTCTTCTTGTCTCAACAACTCATCTCCTGATTTACTGGCCTGTCATGCAGTGAGCAGAGTGAGCTTGGGCTCGGTAACAGTTCCTCCCCCATCACTTTTCCCTATATTTCATTATCCACTCACGAAAGTAGGCACTTCAGTGAAACCTTTCCCATGGGATCATCTCAAGCTGCATAGAATTTAATGTAAATACCACAGACAGGGAGGAGGGTGATTGGAGCAGAGCTTTCTCAGAACTCACAGGACATATAAGGTCAGTGCCTCTGTTTTCCTTTTGTTTTTAATTGAAAGCATGTCCCTCTTGAGAGAACAAAGCCTATCCAGTGGCAGCCAGTCTGGGATGGCAGGAGAAAGCCGGCCAGATGCTGGTGAAATGCAGAAATGTGATTGCGGCATTCTCAGGATGCAATCCAGGAGGTTAAAGGGAGAAGCACACGCTCTGGGACCAAGGTTCACTTTCCGGCTAGGTTTAGACGTGCTGCATGGGTCTGAGATTCGGGGAGATGGCAAAGGTGCTCCCCGTGCTCTTTTTGATGTCCTCCACCATCAGGCCGTCCCAGAGCTCGATCAGCGTCAGTCCTCTCACGTCAAACACAGCCGTCTCGGTGATGATTTCACCTTCTCTGTCAAAGCGGTCCACGCACCAATTCCCAGTCAACAGTCTGGTGCATTTCTCTAAGATTTTGGGTTCACTGGCCTTGGTGGAGTGCTCCATGGTGACCACCACTCTGGTCTCGGTACTGGACACCAGATCCATCGCACCCCCATTCCTTTCACCTTCTTGACAGGTATCATCCAGTTAGCCAGGTCACCATATTTGGAAACCTGCATGGCTCCCAGCAAGGTTACGTCGATGTGTCCCCCTCGAATCATGGCAAATGATTCATCGCTGGAGAAAAAACAGCCCCCAGGAAGAAGGGTGACTGCTTGCCCGCATTGTTGAGATCTGCGTCCACCTCCTCTTTCAGTGGGAACAGACCCAAGCCCAAGATTCCATTTTCACTGTGAAGATGAACGGTTATACTGGGGCTGATGTAGCTGGTGGCCAGAAGAGGGATTCCTATGCCCAGACTGGCATACAGGCCGTCCTCAAAGGCAAGAGCTGCCTGCTTGAGGACCCGTGTCCTCATACCATCTGCAGACTTGCATATTTCATCATCCTCTTTCCGGATCATTAAATGCTCCTTTCTTTTCTCATCTTTTCCCCCCTGTATTCCTCGACCTAAGTAAATGTTAGGAACATGGATGTTCTCTAAGTAAATGTTAGGAACATGGATGTCCTCTGGGGCAAACGACCCCAGGTCCACAATTTCTTCAATCTCCACCACTGAGGTTCTCGCAGCTTTGCACATGGGCACGTTGAAGTTCCTGGCGCTGGCCCTGAAGATGACGTTTCCTGCCCGGTCGGCCTTCCACCCTTGCACCAAAGCAAAATCGGCCATGACGTCGTGCTCCAGAAGGTAGTGCTATCCGTGGAACTCCCTCACCTCCCTGGGCTGACTCAGGATGGAGATGTGGCCGTCCTCTAAGTACTTGCTGGGTGCGCCTCCCTCCTGGGCCAGGGTCCCGCAGGCTGTGGGGGTGTGGAAGGCCGGCACGCCGGCTCCCCCCGCGCGGATGCGCTCGGCCAGGGTTCCCTGGGGTGTGATCTCCAGCTCCAGCTCGCCCGCCAGGTACCGGTGCTCGCAGAGCGAGTTCTCCCCCAAGTACGAGCAGACGATGTGGGTGATCTGCTTGGTCCCCAGGAAAAGGCCGAGCCCGAAGTTCTCGTCCCCCACATTGCTGCCGACCACGGTCAAGTCCTTCACGCGGGTCTTGAGCAGCGCCCCTATCAGGTTCTCCGGGATCGCGCAGAGGCCGAAGACCCGGACCATGATCCTCGCGCCGTCCGGGATGTCTCTCACGGCCTCCACGGGGTCCGCGTAGGACTTGGCGCGCGCGCGGGTCCTGCTGGTGAAGCCGCACACACCGCCCGTCGCCAGCGCAGGCACCGAGAGGGGGGCGGGGACCCGGCGCCCGAGCGCAGACTCCAGGAGCCGCAGGGCTGCCATCGTCCGCTCCGCTCCGGCTAGGGCTCCGGCCCCGCGCCCAGCGGGGACAGGCGGCGGCTGTGCGCGCCCCGCCCGCGCGTCACAGGGCAGGGGGCCCCCAGCGGTGACGCGGCCGCCCGGCTGGCTCCCCGCCGCCCCTCTCCGTCTCCGCGCTCCGAGGGCCCGAGGCGCCGAGCTTCCCGGGCCGCGAAGGCGGAAGGCGGGACCGGTCCGGACCGTCAGGCGGGACTGGAGGGATCCGGGGACTGGCGCACGGAGGCCCCGAGTCGACGTCCCTCCGGGGAAGCCTGGGCGCCGTCTCCTTCCTCTTCATCGTCACCCTTCCTCCCCGGCGCGTTACTCCCGTCCCCCTGCCCCCAGATCCACCTGCACGTCCGCGGTTCCCACACCTGTGTCCCCAGCACGTACTGTCCTGGAACCACATTTGTCACAACTAATCAACCAATACTGGTATCTTATTATTTACTAAACATCACGATCTACTCAGATTTCATTAGTTTTCTCCAGCGTCTTTTTTCCAGGATCCCACCCAGGGTCCCACATTGGCATATAGTCATCACAACTCCTTAGGCACCTCTGGGCTGTTACAATTTCTCAGACCTCCCGTGTTTTTTGATGACCTTGACAGTTTTGAGAAGTACGGGTCAGGCAGGTGTTCTGTAGAATGCCCTTCAGTTTCAGGTCGTCTGATGTTTTTCTCATGGTGAGACTGGGGTTCTGGGTTTTGGGGACGAAGACCATGGAGGTGAAGTGCTGTTCCCACTCCGTCAGATCAAGGGTGTCTGGGAGCTACATGACGTGTTCATGGGAGCCTGAGCACCCGGCTGAGGGGTGCCGCTCAGGTACTGCCCCAGCCCACGGCATACTTTGGGAAGCAAGTCTGTAAGCGCAGCCCACACTGAAGGAGGGGGAGAGATGCTACACCCCCTTGAGGGGGAGTGTCTCAGAGGGTTGTTTTATAGAACGCTGAATCAGATCCTGTCCCCCTCCACTGCTATTAAATAAGATGACATTTATTGCACAGTTACTGTTTTGCCCACTTCTCTCAGCCTCCTCACAGCCGTTGCCTAGCCCTCTGTGCTCCAGCCGTGGTGGCCCCCGCTGTACTGCACACACCAACCCTGGGCCCACCAGGAGGCTCTCCCCCAAACACCTGCTAAATGAATGAAGGTGTGAATCCTCATTCTACAGATGAGGAAACCGAGGCTTAGGAAGGTAAGTAACCTGCCAAGGTCGCCGAGTTAGAAGGCTGCAGAGCCGAGATTCACACCCAGGCCTCTGCCTCAGAGCCTGAGGGTGTGAGCGCTTCCCCCCGCCACCCCCCAGCCCAGGACGGAAACTCCTGGTGCAGAAGGCAGCTCCGTAGGGTAGAAAGAATCTCCCGTTTCTCGGGGAGGGAAAACGTGGGCTCACTCCGAGCAGCGCAGCTGTTGGTCCTGCAGAAGGAGGGGAGGGGCTCTCGGCTGGCGGGGGCCTCCTGCTGTCCTGCACTGCGGAAACCTCACTCCACCCACTGGGCCCCGCGGAGGGGTGGAGGCATCCCCCAGCGGCACAGGCGGAAAAGGCCAGGCCTCCAGGGCCACGTGAGGGGCTCCAGCTGCTCCTGCCGCCAGCAGCTTCCTCGGAGGAGCCCCCAGGGGAAGGTTCGCTGCTGACCCGAGTCTTACCATCATCTGTTTCCACATAGAGGCGGAGTCCCAGGTCCTTGTTACGGTTCAAGAGCCAGCGGTCACTGGCTGCTGTCACGTCCAACACCAGCCAGCCCTCGTCCCCAGATCGGAGCGTCTGAAGATCCAAAAAGAACAAGTCAGACTCCCTGTGGACACGAAAGAACAATTAACCGAGGGCCGGCACAGCTGCCTTTGTTTCCAGTGCCCTCCTGGGGGACCATTAGTGGGGCATCTACCCCGCCTGGCTCTGACCTGGGTGCCTTACATGCCTTTTCTCACTGCGGCTACCGTACAAAGGTGTTACTGTGCCCGTGTACAGATGCAGAAACTGAGGCTCAGGAGCTCAGTGACCTGCCCATGTCCCACAGCTAGGACAGTAGGATGGGGACTTGAATCCAGGACTGATGCTGGGCCTCTCCCCACGGTGACACGAGGCCTCGGGCCAACCATCTTTGTCCTTCGAGGGTGGGCTGCCCAGGAAGCTCCCCTTCTGTCCTCTGGGAAATGTACCCCCCGGCACCCAGGGCTGGGCCGGACCCTCCGACAGAGGCTTGAGTGGGCCCGTGGGGCTCAGGGCAGGCACCTGTTGGACTTCTCCAGGACCACCTCGAACATGCTGACGTGGAGGGTCCAGTTGAGCAGGTGGGTACTGGGCAGCTTGTAAATCCGGAACTCCGCGGCCGTGACGGCCTCCCCCGCCGGGATCTGGGTCAGGTCAAAGCGGAACTCCTTCCACTGGGGCTCCTGGTGGCCCAGGGTGCGGTCCTGCTCCGCTGCAAGACAAAGTGGGACTGGCGGTCACTTGTGGTTCCAGCTCGGGCTCCGGGGTGGGCAGGGCCGGGTGGGATCTGGGGGCCTGGGCAGTCTGGGTGGGACCGCTCCCTGCTCGAGAACAGGCTCTGCCTCCTGGGTGCCGAGAGGGCTCGGGGAGCTGTGTCGTGAGGCGCCTGGCACGGCACCTGGCACATGGCAGTGCAACAAGGGCAGTGTCCATGTCTGGTCCGCAAGCCCCAAACCCAGCTTGCCCCGCTCAGCACCCTGCTGGCTCTGGGACCCACAGATGGGGCACAGGGCAGGTCCCTCCTCTGGGGAGATGGACATCAGACCCGAGGCAGAAAAGGGCCACGGTGGCAGCAGGGACATAGCTGAGTGCACTTGGACAGGACAGGGCTCCCGGAGTCAGCCGGTATGTGGATGGGAGTTGAGGGGCGAAAGGGCTTTGGAGCTGGGCCTTGAGGGGTGAGAGTGAATTTGCCATGATGTCAAGGGAGAAGGATGCTGCAGAGGCAGGGTCCAGCCTGAGCAAAGGCCTAGAGCCAAGGAACGACAGCACCAGCAGGGAAAACAACAGCCATAAAGCCCAGCAAAGGGTGAAAGGACGGCAGGACCCTCTTTGGAACAAGGGGAAGCAGGAAGGGGGGCCGGAGGGAGACACGGAAAGAACCAGGAAGAGGCGAGGTAGGATGACAGCTCCTGGAGATGCTTGGTCAAGTGCTGGGGAAGCTGGAGGGTCCCATGGCATGATCTGAGCAGGCTTCCCAGAGGAGGTGACACCTGAACTGGCCTTGAAGGATGGGACTGAGTCTTGGTAGGTGGATAAGGTGGGGGAGAAGACATTCTAGGCAGAGGTCCTGCACAGGTTTGAGGTGCTGGGGCCGCCCACCATCCTGCAATGTGCGGCTCAGGGCATAAGTCTGGCTGTGGCCTGACTGCGGAGAGCTGGAATTCTGGCCTCGGAGCGTGGGCTGTGCTCTGGCCAGTCGGGGGGTCAGGGCTCTGGGCAGCAAGGGAGTGTGGTTTAAGGGTAGAGTGGAAGCTATGGGTGGAGGCGAGGGTAAAGCCCAGGCTGGAGGGGACCCGAGGCAGGCCAGTGGCAGGGCTGCTCTAACAGTCTGGGCAAGAGACCACAGGAGCAGAAAAAACCCCACATTTCCCCAGCTGCCCGGAAATGCCCAGGACAGTATATTTAGAGCGTCTCACTTTAGCCTCCTGTCACTTTCAAACACTAAAAATCTGTGTTTCCGCAAAGCAGGGGCGGGAGCCTCCCAGAGCCTTCCCCCAAAACCAACACTGAGATTTTAATTACATGTCTGTGAGTCTTTTTAAAAATTCTCTCTCTGGCTACTGGACTCAGAGACCACAAGTCACCAGGCTGGTGGCAGAGGCGGATGTGGGAGCACTTCCTGTCCTTGCGGTGGAGACCTGGTCCGGTGATGGATGGGCAAACAGCTGTGCTGGGCGGGGCCAGTGGACACATGTTTGGGCAGGAGATGGGCGTTTCATCCCCTGACCAGGGAGGAGGGAAAGTAGAACCTCCATCGTCTGACAGGGTGCTGGACCCGCAGTAAATGCCCAGCCACGAGCCAGGCTGTTCCAGGGGCAGCGTGTCATAGGAGGATCCGGGTCCTCCCATACAGGCAGGGCACGGAGGGCAGGGTTCTGGACCTTTGCCGAGTGATGCTCGCCATGAATATCACCACACGAGTCCCCTCCTCCCTACACACTCCCACACAGAGCTTTGGGGACAATTTCCGTGGATTCGGTAACTGCAGAGGCCACCTCGGTTACGTGGCTGTGTCAGCATCCCTGACCTGCAGGATGAAATAGGTCCAGGCTGTTGGCTGTCACAGGGTGTGGCCCCGAGAGTAAGGAGGGGTCACTCAGCCATGCCCTGAACCTGACCCCTCTCAAAGCATTCTTATATATCTGCCCCCAAGGCACAGTGGGTGACCCTTGGTGGGTCACTGGGAGCCTCTGTCTGCAGGCCTGACACTGACTCATGTTGGATCCAGGACTGAGGGGACAACCACAAACCTCCCAGCTCCTGTGGGCACCAAGCTCTGTGGCCTCCCTCCCTTGTTGACCTGGGGGCCCGCCTGTGCTGAGTCGAGCCCTCTTCACCTGGACTGACCTCAGATCCAAGCTTCTGCCCTGTGGGTTCGTGAAATCGATACATGCCCCCACCAACCCCCCACCCTTGCCCAATAGTTCCAGCACGGGAAACTGCCTGCCCCAGTGTTCCAGGCAAGCATTAGAGGTGGGACATTTTTAGGAAAATGATTTTCGTCGGAAATTGATAAAACTTCTGGGATGCGTCATTAAACTGGACATTACTGTAAGTAGTCGAAGGAGAGCACCCCATTTCTTTGCTGGAACCACGTGAATGTACAGCTTTTCAGTAGTTGCTTCTGTGGATTAGGGGAAGATGTTTCTCAAAAGCTGGTGTTAAGAAACAGCATTTGTTGGGAACTAGATGTCCCCTATGGTAGTTCCTGGGCTGGCTGCCCCTGCTTTAGCCACTAAAACAGCATTGAGAAGGGTAGATGCTCTGACCTGCAGCTGGGGCTTCTGGTCCCAGCCCTGACCCTGTCAGCAATCAGGTACTTACCCTGGGTGGCCTCAGTCTGCTCATCTGGGAAGTGGGGATCCTAGGATCCTTTCCACATAAGGCTGTGAAAGGGCTTTAAAAAGGACAGGGATCATGGGATAGGAGGGATGGCCATTCCTTAGGGGGTGGGAGGGGTGTTGACCTCTAATTTCCAAACTTAGTTGACATGTCAAAGTAATAACATCCTGCCAGCACCATTGGGAGTTTCATGTGTGAGACTCAAAAGCCATGGAAGAGAAAAGAGAGACATTCAGTTTTCTTCCTCTAAATAAAAGTATGAAATGAAAGATTATATAAAATAAAAATATATCAATGCATCTGAACGGCATTTGGATGGCTTCAAATTGCCTCCTTTCCACCTGCCTGACCTTTCTGAAGACACTTGATCCTGTGGGCCTCGGAATCCACATTTGCGAAGTGTTTGATACAGAGATGAAATTGAAATTAAAGTGTAAAAAGCCCTACCTGCTACCGTGGCCGCACTTGGTGTGGTCCAGCAAATGCTTCTAACCTATTATTCAGGAGCATTTCCTTTTTGGTGCACATTCGTGTCCAGTTTCCACCTTCCCCTATAACCAAGGTCTGGAATCTCCCAAACATGCCCAGGCCTGGAGAGGCAGCCCTTCAGCAATGCCAGTGGTGCCATCCACTGTGTTCCAGCTCGGGCACAAAGCAAAAACTGATCCCTTCTTTATGAAAGTGAAGATTCCAAAACATCAGAGCTCAAGGACAGATCACTGCATACAGTCTCCTCTCACTTTTATGCACACGTGGAGACAGATCGCAGGAGTCCTGGCTCCCATCTGGGCTCCTTTTCACTGCAGTGGCCCTCCACCGTCCAAGGCTACAAAACAGCATAAGCCCTCCACCTTGGAGTTGGCATGTCCCTGCTTCCTGCCCCGCTGCTACTGTGGGATGCTCTGTAGAGGGAATTTAGGGGAAAGGCCAAGGTCTGCACAATGTGATTTCTTGGGTTTTCCTGGTAAAATTTGCTGCAGGTTGTGGAATTGGGAAGTTCATTCCCAGGTCCCCTGGCAGATTAAGACAGGCTGGAGGGTGCAGGGAAAGGGGTGCTCCCTGCCTGGCCTATGTTCTGGATCCTGGCCATCTAAGTTCTGCCAAGAATCTTCTCTCCGTGGTCGTCCTGGGGGGACTGCTGAGTTTGAAGCAAGAGGATAGTAAATTATTCCCCCTCTCTGCAGAATCTGGGGTAGGAATTCCTAATCTGGCGGGAGTGGGGGGGTTCCTATAAGTTCACCTTTGGGCACGTGGGAGAAGACTCCTGACTCTGCTGCCTTCTCATGCTCTGGAGGTCTTCTAGAACACTCACTTTTCCCTTCATTTTTCCCAAGCACATCTAGGAATACTAATTAATTTGTGTATGCAACACATTTGAAAGCAGTGCTTATTGAACGCAAGTCAGTATTTAGGCACTGGGGGAAACTGTGGCCCTGTGCCTGTGAAGTTTATGTGCAGGGGGGAAGTCAGGTAGGAAAGAGTGAACAAACAAAGTCATTGTATGCGATGAGCCCTGTGAAGGACACCAAGAGAGAGGTGGGATTGGGGATAATGCAGGGAGGGTGTGTGGGGTTACTTTATGTTTCTAACTTTATTTTGTAGTAATTTTAGATTATTTAGATTCAGAGAAAATTGTTGCAAGAATTATTGCAAGAAACTTCCCATATACTCTTTACCCAGCTTTCCCTAATGATAACCATCTTACATAACCAAAGCACAGCATAATGACCAAAACCAGGAAATTGATATTGGTACGATATTATTAAGTACACTACAGACTTTTCTAGAATTTTGCCGATTTTCCAACTTATGTCCTTTTTCTGTTCCAGGATTCGATCCTGGATCCCACATCACATTTCACTGTTAGGTCTCCCTGATGTGCTCTGACCTGTAACAAGTGCTAAGCCATTCTTGTCTTTCATGCCCTTTCTTTTTTTTTTTTTTTTTTTAACATCTTTATTGGGGTATAATTGCTTTACAATGGTGTGTTAGTTTCTGCTTTATAACAAAGTGAATCAGTTATACATATACATATGTTCCCATATCTCTGCCCTCTTGCGTCTCCCTCCCTCCCACCCTCCCTATCCCACCCCTCCAGGCGGTCACAAAGCACAGAGCCGATATCCCTGTGCCATGCAGCTGCTTCCCACTAGCTATCTACCTTACGTTTGTTAGTGTGTATATGTCCATGACTCTCTCTCGCCCTGTCACAGCTCACCCTTCCCCCTCCCCGTATCCTCAAGTCCGTTCTCCAGTAGGTCTGTGTCTTTATTCCTGTCTTACCCCTACGTTCTTCATGACATTTTTTTTTCTTAAATTCCATATATATGTGCTAGCATACGGTATTTGTCTTTTTCTTTCTGACTT